TTAATAATCATTCACCAAGTAGAATGGACACACAATGGAGATATATGCTTCAAAAATAAATAAGCAGCCAGTACTTGCCTGTAATCCTAGTGGCTCKGGAGGCTGAGGCCAGAGGATCACGAGTTCAAAGCCAGCCTCAGCAAAAAGTGGGGTGCTAAGAAATTCAGTGAGACCTTTCCTCTAAATGAGATACAAAATAGGGCTGGGGATGTGGCTCAGTGGTCGAGTGCCCCTGAGTTCCATCCCAGGCAACGCTCCACCCCCCCCCCCAAAAAAAGAAGATTAATGAGTGTGGGGGCATTGTGGTGCACACCTAAAACCGCAAAAGCTTAGGAGGCTGAGGCAGGAGGCTCACAAGTTCAAAGCCAGCCTTGGCAACTTAAGGTCTTAAGGTACTTAGTGAGATCCTGTCTCAAAATAAATAATAAAAAGGAAGGACTGAGGATGTGGCTCAGTGGTTAAGGGCCCCTGGGTTCAATCCTCAGTACAAACAAAACAAAAAACAAACAAATGAACAAGTTAAGCTTCTCCATTAAACAGAGGCCCAGGACTTGGGGAAGCCTAGAGGAATTCCTCTGGCATCTAGACCTTTTCCAAATTGAATATGGCTTCTTTAGGTAAGTTTTGTTTTCTTTTCTTTTTAAGATTTACTGCTTTATAGTCACAGTGTAAACTTGTAAATTTTAGTGGGTGAGACAGTGGGGAGAGAACTTTAAAAATGTAAAGGAATTCTGTGCTGTTCTGTTTTTGGCCAAGCAGCTAACACAACCTAGAGTGCGTGGGCATAGGATCGCTCCCTCTCCCATCTTTGAATGCTTTTCAAGGTTTAGATCATTGGAACAGCTGTTGAATAGAGTCAGAGCAGATGTGAAGTTTATAGTGAAATTGGAGCCTTTACCGGTGTGACTGATGGAAGGATGTAGACAAGTTCAGCCTTTCCTAAACTATGGATGCTAATCCTGTGGGCTCTTAAGGAGAGTCACAGTATTCATCAAGTCCCTGACCCAAGAAGACTGGGAAATGCTAGGTGAAACCAAGTGATACAGTTCTTTATTTTTCTCTTCCTGTTTTTAATTCCCAGACTCTTTAGAATGTGACTAAGTACTGTGAATCTCTTAGAGGGAGACAAGGTATACATCATTTCCCAAATTTATTGAACCATGACATTTTCTTTCTTCATTGTTTTAGGGAACTAAGATCTGCAGGAACACACTGAAGGAAATGCTGACGGAGGATTTTGACAGGGCTTCTTAACCCTGACTGAATCATACAACTCTTGTGACACTTCATTGAGAGAGAGAGAGAGAGAGAGAGAGAGAGAGAGAGAGAGAGAGACAGAGAGAGAGAGAGACAGAGAGACAGAGAGAGAGAGAGAGTGTTTTCTAGACTCTGCCCCAGAATCTCTAGGAGAAGGGCCATTTTTTTGCAACTCTGGGTTTTAAAGGCTCTACTGGAGATTCTACTGTGCAGACTAACTACTGCATCATGAAGCTGGCTTTTGGATTCAGGAGAGCTCAGGTTCAAGTTTTGATGCCACAATAGTCACTATTAATCAAGTCCTCTTAGTTTTCTCATCCATGAAATAGGGAATCATACATACTCACTGGTATATTTTTTGGTCCAAAACAGTAAAAGGGAGAAATAACGTTTTCAGTTTGTAATCCTCAGGAACTTCAACAGAAATACAAACAGTATAATGATTTGCTTTCTCAATCTTTTACGTATGCCAACAGCTTTAACCCATCTCCAACAACAATGAAATAATGGTGGATTCTTATTTCTGTGATACCACTATGGCCCCTTGACCTTACTTTTCCTTCGAGCAAGTTTCTGAAACAGTGTCAGACCCTTAGCAGATATGGCTATGAGTATCTTTGGCAATCACTTCCCAGGTCCTTTGGGGAAAAGTTCCCTATCTTTCAAACTGTATACAATCTCCAGCTGGTAAGAGACCATCTAAGCCAGCCCAAGAAACTGAAATCTGGGTTTAGGCCACAAATAAAATGACATCATCGTGGGTCTGCGTTATGCTCTGTGCGAAGGTCCAACATTTGGCCAGCAGCAGTTCCAGGCTCTTCTGTTGAGGAGGAGTTATCCAAAATACAAACTTCAAAGGTGTTGCTATTTCTAGAAGAGCAGATGTAATGGGATTTTTATAGGCATCCTAACATTTGGTATCTTCATGCTCCCTTTCCTTCTTAATAATCCCTTCCCTGTCTTATTCCATTAAATAGATTTTTAACAGTACTGTGTGTGTGTGTGTGTGTGTGTGTATGTGTGTGTGTGTGTGTGTGTGTGTGTGTGATACAGCTATCCTCCAGAGGGAAAAGTATGTGTGGATTTAACTCTGGCCCAGAGAAGTTCCTTTGTGTCTGAAAGAAATGGTACAGATAATTCCAGTCTTATAAATGGACTCCACCGAAACATTCATTTTTCAGTGAGTAGTTTGCAACTTGGAACATGTTTTCTCACAAAAGCAGCGTTCTACAGGGTGGGTATAGTCACGGGCCAGCCTATAAGAACCTGAGTGATTCCTACTGCACCTGAAGCAGAATATTATTATTATTATTATTATTATTATTATTATTATTATTATTTTAGAGAACTGTGTTTCCATGGGAACAAATTTTCAAGAGTTTCTACTGTTTAAGGGTGAGAACCACAGACTGTAAAATTTTTAACAGTCTCCTAAATCACTTCCCCCTTATTCCTTTCATAAATTACCAAGAAGAGGAGCTATTCATTGCACAAACTATTTCTTGAATATATTAAGTTAAAATAATATTTCTTTCTCTGCTTGTTTCATGCACTTTGAAACTTTAGTAAAAGGGACACAAGCCAAGAACAGGTTTCTCTGAACATTACTGAAGTGCTTCAGGCTTGGGCTTCTTGTCATACTGTCATTATGATTGTTTTTACATCAAAATTGCATATTTGTTTTTTTTTCCTATGGTATCTTTACCTTTGGATTTTTAAAAACTTGCCTTATAATTTAATAGGAATCTGTAAAAACTAAGTAATGAAATATATTCTAGGCCACCCTGACCACAGGAATCAAAAATGTTTCAACTATACACTACACAGATTATGGTAGAAGTTTTATAAATATATCACAGAAACACAGTGCTGGAAAGAACCTAAAAAGATTGTCTAGTCTGTTCCCTGGCTTCCAGACAAGCCGACCATTCCAAACAGATGAGAGCTAACCTATATTTTAGAGAAGGACGACTCTGTCTTTAACCCTTTCAAGATCTCACAATTTAGACACTGAGAATAAATTGTTGTTAATTTTTCACCTTAATTAGTACATTTATGATTACAATTGTATTTTACTTTCTCAGGCTTAAAGTAAAGTCTTTTTTATTTGTGTAAAATCCTACAGCATCATCACATATTATATTTTATATTCTCTCCTCTAGGACATTCTGAACATCCCCATGGCTAATTCTTCAGTTATCTTTGTCTTATATTCTCTGGGTTACCTGAACCTTCTTCAACAGTGGAAACCAAACTCTAGCCATCCAGTTTTTGAGGCATCTCAGTACCACATATGTTTTCCACATATAGGAATATTTAAGCAGACTCAGATAGGCAGGCGCTAAGACTTGGATCCAAAGGAAAACTAAATTCAATAAACACAAAAAAATGACAATAATATAGGCTATTTACTTATAATTACTTTCTTTCAGGTAGTTAAAAGGCATTAACCAGCCTAATCATATTAGCTCTTCAATCAAATAAAGAAATCAAAGAGAATCTATCCCTAATAAACAAAGTTGTACATAAAATGTGATACCTTTAAGTGCTATTTTTTTTTTCTGATAGAGAATCGACTATGGAACTTACAAAGAGGTAAGCTCAAAATACTTTTTTGCTCACTGGAGAAGCCTATTACCTATTGGTACTGATAATGACTTTTTAACTTAATACTTAGAGACTCTTTCATGGAAGTTTTCAAAGAAATGGGCATGACAATCTTTATACTGTGGATGATGATGAACATACTAGCTTTAGAGCAATCATATTGGCTCCATGACTATCTTACAACAGTCCTACTTCCCCCAAATAAAAGAGAAAGCTGGCATTAGTAAGTTGGAAGGATCTCCCCCTGGGAGGCTCTGGATGCCTCCAAGGTGAGGTCTGTGTCTGAAGAATCACACCTGGGTAGACACTTTCATAACCAACCTGACAGCAGATCACATGCCTTGCCTATGCCCCAACTCATGTGCCTCTTGCGGGTGGCAGTCATAGGTAGATGCTCACCCCAAGTTTCTAAGGAAACAGAGGCAACTTTTTGAGACCAGGTTGACACACTTGGCCCTGAAAAATGACCATGAGAACATGGTTCCTGGCTTTTCTACTTAGCAGAGCACCTCCGTGGAGACAGTCTTCCCCACCTCTGTACAGGTTTCCAAAGTAGAATCAGCCTTCACAGCTTCCTGGTGGAGGAAAGCACTCCTACCCCGACACTTGTCCACTTGCTACCAATGGATAATCCAAATGCTGCTTTTGAAAACTAAGATTCTCTGAATTTTCTACAGCAGCAAACTCATGTTACCCATCAACCAACTGGATTCCAAGCCCAGGAAAAGTTTTTTTTTTTCTTTCCTATAATTGTAAAGATTTAGGATACTGGTAAGAAAATGCAGAGAACGAGATGTTAAAAGAAAAAAATTCTCATGTTGGCTGTGAAGGTGGCACATGACTTACAGCTCCATGAGGTAAGCTTAGGGTTTATGTAATTTTAGCTAAATAGACAATTACCAGTGTACACTGTCTTTCCTCACTCCTAAAACAAGTATCATTTCAGGGAGACTTCCGGTTTTTAGATTTCCTACACAAGTCTTAAATTTCCTTCTACACACTGGCAAAAGAACAGCATGAAATTGAAACTCTGGCATTAATTTGCAGGAGCTTGAAGGACATCCTGTAAGAGACCCACTAATTACACAAATGAATTGAAGCAAAATACACTCCAGCAAGGGGAAAAGTCAACTTACTTGTTCAGTTTTTGTAAGCCTGGTTTTGTTGTGAATGTCTGAAGTGACCAAATTGAATCCGTGCTTCTCCGACAAGATTCTCAGAAGCAAGACCACAGTGCGGCTGCCACATTTGCCCACCCTGTTGTACACCACCTGGCTGGGGAAGGGCAGTACCTGCGAGAAGAACAAGAGAGAAAGCATGAGGCGTTTGCATCAAACCACCCATGATTCTTCCCCCCACTTCAGAGCTGGATCAATCTCAATGAGAAGGACCCATATCAAGTGGGTGAGAGAACAGACACAATGAAATGTGCTAACTGTGCTTTTGTATCTGGCTTTTCCTTTGGAGAATGTTTCCTAAGTTCATCCACGTTGTAGTATGAATCGATACTTTGTTCTTGTATAAGGCTGAATATTACACTGTATGAATGTACTGGATTTTGTTTATGCAGTCACCAGTTGATGGACATGTGAATTAGTTTCACTTTTGGGTATAATGAGTAATACTGCTGTGAACATTTGTGTACAAGTTTTTGTGTGGACATATGTTTTCAGTTCTCTTGTGTATATACCTAGGACTGGAGCTGCTGGATCCATGGTAACCCAATGATTAATTTCTTGAGGAACTGCCAAAGTGTTTTCTATACAGCTGCACTATTTTATATTCCCATCAGCAATAGAAAAGAATTCCAATTTCCCCACATCCTTGCCAACACTAGGTATTTGCCTGTTTTTTTTTATGTTTTATTATAGACATACCCATACCCACTAGGGTGGGTATGATGTGGTACCTCACTGTGGTTTTGATTTGCATTTCTCCAGTGACTAATGATGTTCGGCATCTTTTCATGTGCTTTTTGGTCATTGTGTTTTTTCTTTGGAGAAATGAGTATTTAAATTTTTTACCCATTGTAAAATCAGATTGTCTTTTTATTGCTACATTTTAATAATTTGACCTTTATATGTATATTGGTCTTGCAAATAAACAATTTCTGAATATTTTCTCCCATCCTTTCTTGATGTGACAAATCCTTAGAAGCCCGAAATGTTTTTAATTTGATGGGGTTCAATTTGTCTAATTTTTCTCTGGTTGCTTATTCATTGTGTTATATGTAAGAAACCATTGCCTAATCCAAGATCCCAAACATATATACCTAGTTTTCTCTTAAGAGTTTTATAGGTTTTAGTAGTAACATTTGGGTCTTCGACCCAGTTGGAGTTAATTAATATGGTATGAGGTACGCTAACTTCATTCCTCTGCATCTGTTGAAAAGAATATTTTTTCCTCATTTAACTGCTTGGCACCCTTGTCAAAAACCTACTAACCATAAATGTGCGGCTATTTCTGGACTTTCAGTTCTCATCTGTTGATGTTTATGTTTCTTCTTATGCCAGTACCACATGGTCTTGATGATGATAAATTCATTATAAGATTTGAAATTAGGAAGGATGACTTCCTCCAACTTTGTTCTTGATCATTCAAGCTTATTTTGGCCATTCTGGGTCCCCTGAATTTCTATAGGATTTTAGGAATAGCTTTCAATTTCTGCAAAATAAGCCTTTGAAATTTTGATGGGATTGCATTTGATGTGTAGACGGTCTTGGGGACTACTGCTATCTTACCTGTATTGAGTCCTTGTCCTCTTTCTATCCCTTTAGTTCTCCTTTAATTTGTTTCAAATGTTCTATAGATTTCAGTGTATAAGACTTCATACAATTTGGACTCCTTTTTAAAAAATTTATTCTTTTTGATGCTATAATAAAAGGGATTATTTTCTTAAATTTAGTTTTGACTTGATTGTCCATTTAAACAGGAATATGATTAATTTTTGTATATTGGTCTTTTATCCTGAAGTGTTGCTGTGTGCACTTATTAGTTCTAACAGATTGTGTATGTGTGGATTGTTTACAATTTTCTATATACAAGATCATGTCATCTGCAAATGGAGATAGTTTTACTTCTTCCTTTCTAATATGGATCCCTTTGCTTTTCTTTCCTAATTGCCCAATGGTGATGATTTTGGTAGACTATAGAAGCCATTATATAAAGCATCTATGATTCGATGTTTATGTCCCTAATAAAAATATTATTTCCATTTTGAATGCTCAGCACTGAGTAACAACAAACAAATGATAGATAGTCAAAGGATGCCTTCTGTCAGCACACATCCATAACAGCAGATTATAAGAAGTCTCAAAGCTAATGAATATAGTAAATATTCTCAAAATTTGCCTACTATATGCCATTTTAATTTTTGCCTTGTAATTATAGGTTAACTTGTTTTTCTGAGATACCTTACATGCAGAGTAGCATTGCATAAATTTGGAAAGAGTCACTGAAGTAAAACAGGACATCTGGTATCACTCGTTTGGCAACCAGACATGTGCCATTTTGATATAATTCTTCCACTATGTATTTTCCTGTGAGCAATACCATGTTTCTTTAGACCAGTCAGCATCTTTAGATCAGTCTCCACAGTGCCTAGAATGTGCCTGGTATGGAGAGTCTAGCATTAACACAATGATTCTGTTCAAATGTGAAACAAGAGAATCTTCAAATACAGGTGATGTTACTAAGCAAATGCTAGTAAAAGTTATTGGGATAAGAAGATGGTCATTGCAATAGGTCAATTTTACTAATGGTTGAGTCAGCGAACCCTCCAAAGCTCTCTGGCAACTATGGCGACTCAGAAATCCAGAGAAATTCATCATGTTCACAGTTATGAGTCTAACCAGGGAGGGCTTTACTCATAACTAGGCTTCAAGCCTAATGTAAAGATATTAATAGTGTTTTTGACTTGGACTTTCCATTATACCCAGGGTGGGGTATAGACTATGGTTAAGACGGGGCACCAACACAAAAACAAACTTGAATTCCTCCATAGAAATAAACTGCTCAGTAATGGGGATGAATGCATTTTTTTCCTGCCTCATAGTACAATGAGGACCTGGGACAGCTATAAGAAGATGTAAGTTTCTACACAGGTAAATGCTTTCTTGCAAGATTGTGAGCATGTCTTAGGAGATTCAAAAGAAGAAACAGGACTTACCTAGAAACCTTCCGTGAAAACACTATTTCTCCCAAATTGTGTGAAGAATTGACACAGTAGCAGGCTTAGCATCTCCCTACCTCCTTTTGCTAATAACCAAGAATGTTATTTGCCTTTCTTATTGGTTAGTTTTTAAGAATGTTAATTTCAATTCTTTCATTAGTCTTGAGAGATGCTCCCAAACAATGGTTATAAACATTTGTATTTAACAAATATGAATATTTGCTATTATATAAGAACAAAAATCCCTGCATCATACCCACAGCTATATCTACAACAATAATTGAAAAGAAAGGAGAGCACATTGTCCCTGCTGGCTCCATTTCCACGGATATACAGCTGCATGGCCTGAAATTAAGAGTGGCAGAAGGTGCTGTCACCTAAGTTTTCTGGAGTCAGACTGTGACTTTTAAAGCTACAGCATGTGCCATCACAAACAAACCTCTCTCAAATTTAAATCAGATTCCAAAAGAACCTAGGTTTCCACACAGGTAAAAGCTTTATTACAAGATTGTGAGCATATCTTAGGAGATTCAAATGAAGAAACAGGACTTACCTAGAAACCTTCTTGCACTGAAAATAGGCAAGCAGGTCAGGCTAGATCAACGTGCTAATGTTGACCATGGTATTAAGATGAATAACAAGAGATTGGTTCTGCCCTACTCTTGGTAGAAATGTAGATTTGCTTCTGAAAATCATTGGTGAAAAAGCTGAAAGATGCTGAAAAAGGGTCTGGCTTTTATGGCACTGTCTTGCACGCTGCGCTGTGGGTGCCTTTTTAATCCTTGTTCACACTCCTGAATCAAACAGCATCATTGCCTCTTACTCTAGCTGTGCCTTCGGCATCACTAATGACAGCTGCAGTCTCTCCTGTGCGCCCCTCCACTTCCCCATGGCCTGTGGGTTCATAGAGCAATGGGGTTGAGGTCTAGAAGTCAGGCAGAATAACCCATCCACTCCACTCTGCCCCCAGCACCATTACCCTCTTTCCCCCCACCCGGTGTAATCTGTGTTGCACTTGCCTAAGAACGTTCTTTTCTATCACGTCCTGTCACCGTCTCAAATATAAGATAGATATTATGATCATATTTACATAAGGAAAGCAAGGCCCAAAGAGATCATCCAGCATTCAAGGTCACAAAGCTAAAAAGCGACATGCCACAACTGAAGCCTAGCCCTCACCTCTCCTGGCTCAGAGGAGAACACTCACTTACACACAATGAAATCAAATGGTGAAAGGGACTTGCAATTTGACTTGGGTGACAGAGACACTATTTCCTTTCTTGTGTCTTGCATATATACAACCTCGTTAAGTGAGCTATTTTTCAACAGTCAGCTATCACAACCAGTATCATCAGCCATTATTCCCCAAGTTCCCCAAAGGTCTAAGTGGAACCGACAGGAGCCCATTAGCCTCTCTCCCCATCCTCAGGACTCAGTCTTGTGAGCTAATGTAAGCCCAGAGTGTCAGTGCAGCTAATGCAAGAAGAAGGTAGGAAGATGTTCTTCCCCAGCATGCCCTCCTCTGAGATATCCTGGGCAGTCACAGTTCACAGCCACCTGGAGGATTGTGAACCACTTCCACTAGAAAAGGGAAAACGCAGGAAGCAGCAGTTTATAGGGAAACATAGGTGAATTCATAATTAAACTGGGATCGTTTATTAAGACAAGCAAATGCCCTCAAATGATCAACTCAGTGACCTTGAAAAATCATCGACCTAGAGTTCCCATTTTCTTCACCRGCATTTGCCAGTTGTCAGGGAGGGAATTACCTGCTTATAGGATCCCATTATTATCTGCACACAAATTCTGAATCCTTATCTTTCCCTGAGTGCCGTGCACAGAAGTACACACCAGCAGCCCTCATCAGCCCCTCCCCAAATGATTCTTCATTCTTGGCAACTATGATTATATGAATGTTATGTCTGTGGTTTCTGTTTTATGGCCAATTTGTAAAAGTGAAGGGGCCTCCAAAATATTTCACTCTATGAATTATATATTTTTATGTTGTCTGCTTGTAAGTTCTACAAATGCCACAAATCCCCAGTGTCTGACAGGCTTGTGTGGAGCGTGCCAAATAAACACAAGTCTTTCCAAAATCCCAAGCACAGCAGTAACTACCAG